CTGTGTGTGTGTCTGTGTGTGTGTCTGTGTGTGTGTCTGTGTGTGTGTCTGTGTGTGTGTTTGTAAGTAAACCAGATCACCGTGCCGTCCCGAGCTTCCAGAACATCATCTCTCTGCTCAGTGACTCATTCGTCGGGTTGAGCTGTTGATGCTTTCTCTTGCTGATTGATTCTTTGAGCCATCCACACAGTYGAGATGGTCTCGTTTCTGACAGATCGTCTCCATCAGAACTGAAACTATACTTGGATTATTTGATAAGTCAGTCTGGAGATTAAGTGCTTCTTCYTTCCATCGTATTCTAAAACTGAATCTGGCCTTTTTGTTCTTGTAGCTTATGGATGGTCTGTAGGTCGTCATATATCCCCCTCTTTTTATTATGCCTCAGCCCGAGTAGGCAATACTGTTCTTTGGCTGTCCGTCTGTGCATTACTGGGTGTGAAATTCTGTCCATCACACAGTCTTGTGTGCACTGTATCTCCTGAACCACAGCTATGGATTTCAGGCCAAATTAACATAATTGTTTTTCCCCAACAGAGGTCTGAAAATATTTTGGGGTCAAAGCTAAAGGTCAAGTAAAGTGATCTATCACTTTGGATGGTACACATAAGTGGTTGGTCACTAAAATTAATGATATGGTAAATATCAAAGGGGAAGTCATGTTTAGACATTGTAGATATAGTTACACACTTCTTGAGAATATTTCAGTCTAAAAATRGAGGTCAACAGATAAYTGTATGCCCAGTGCTTTAAATGCAGATGGGTCTAGGACAGATGAGGTATACCAGTCGATGCTTTGGCATTGAGTTCTACCTTGTTTAAGACTTAAATGAAAAGCCCGAGTTAAGCTGTAGCTGTTTTGAAAATGTTCATGCTCAGGTTGTGTTGTGACTCAGCCACTAYCTCGCTAAATTTGAGCTGAATATCTGTAAAATTAACTAAATTGTAGTCTATTTGGTGTTTAAGTAAGTTGTCTGTGTTGGCCATCTTGAATTACGTTTTTCTCCCAGAATTAATGAGAATGTGTGTYCATAGATCCTCATCTGGAAGTTTCATTAAATTTCTCAAGTTGTCCATGAGATATTTCGCCAACAGAGTTGACTCCAAATCATGAATTGCAAAATTTAAACAAAGATCTTGCACGCTGTTTAGGGTTGGGCAATGTTGGCAAAAAAATTAATCACGATTAATTGTGGTATTTACCTGATAACGATTAATTTGACGATTAATCCCTGGAGTCCCYGGACACCCTTATGTCCTAGTCACATGACCAATTTAGTGGGAAAGATTTGCYCTTCATACAAATCTGTTCCAAATTGTGTCAAATTACAGACTTCAGGCTATACATCAAAGTTTAAATTGTGTTGACAGATAAATAAATTACAGAACTTTTTTTTTAAATGTTCGTCATATTTGAAGTGGAGAGGAGCACTGAGCAGACTCTGCCTGCTGGCATTAATCGTATTAATCGTCAAATGCCAAAAAATAATCGATTGATTTTCTGACGATCAATTGGCACACGATACGATTATGCCCAAYCCTAACGCTATTAGAAATCAGTCTCAGCTTCTACCACACCAAATTTGAAGTCAACATCTGAAATATTGACAGAGTTTGATCTATTTTAGTGTTTTTATAAGTTCAGTTGGCTGTGGCGGCAATCTTCAATTTGGTTGACTCCAGCAGTTCATGAGATATTTTGCTAACAGTCTAGCCCACAAAAAACTTAATCGCTCGGCCTTCGTCTTTCTGCTGCTGACATAGTGTGATTTTTTTTTCCCTTACAAAATTCTGTTCCCGTACATCAATGCCTTTTTCTTAGTTTTTATATAATTTTTTGTGAAAGTCCCAGCTTGYGATTTTGTTCTCAGCGAATCAGCTTTATGTTTAATGTCTTCTACCTGTTTACGAAACAAGATAAGGCTTCTCATCTAACAGTTTCCTTCTGTTATTTATGTGTTCCAGCCTTTTTCAGGTGACCAGATGGACGACTTCAGCAGTGAATTATTTAACAGTTTCTTTGACGACCACCTGTTGGAGCGCCCCCTGCTGGCAGACAGACCTTCACCGCTACACCTCGACATGGACAGCAGCCCAGGTGACTTAATCAGCCAACCAATAAATCAATAAGGACACTCTCGCCTCAACTTCACTCATATTAATAATAGCAAGTGCAGCAAAGGATGACTTCCAGAACTCTTCGCTGCGTCTCGTAATCCGTTCAAACCAGATTTGTTCTCAGAGCAGTGCAGCAGCCAGTTGCTTTGCTGCGGAGCCAACATTTGGTTTGAAAAAAMTCACAATCTCGTCTCCTTTCTTGATTCGATGGCCTCTTGGGACCAACCGTATCAAAATGGTGCGGCTCGCTGCCATCAAACCCTGGCTCCTTCCAGACTGCAGAGGTCAAATATCATAAGAGTTGGTCTGAAGCGTCCAAACATCTGCCTACATCCCAGAGGGGACTCACATTAGCCTCGCTCGTTACTGGATCCTGGTGTTCTTGGTTAATGTAGCGGAGGCTTGCTCGGTCTGTYGAAGCTGTCGCCAGTCTCATGACTGCAGATCTGTGTCTCTGTCAGGTGTTGCCATGGTCACAAAAGCAGGAAAATAATAGAAGAAGGGGATTGCTATTATCAGGAGTGTGTTAAAATTGTAATATTTCTGGAACTTCGGCCTCAGCATCAAGGCTAAACATGCATCTTTTTGGCCTTGTCAATTGCTCATTTCAGATGTATAAACGCAAATAGATTCAGTCTCGACRTAAAGCATATTAGCTGCTGTAAAAGTCTGGTTTTGAGAGCTAAAACAGTGACATTAGGTTATATGTGCTGTGCACCTACATGAGTACGTTTGGCTGTAATTAATGATGCCTATGAGCCAACACGACATCGCCGCTCCTGAGTGAAATCTTCATTAMTGCAGGCAGCACTGTTCCATTTTTCCATCCTTCTGAGAGGGACTTTTTAATCTCACAGATATCCAGGGAGAGCACAGCTACTCTTTGAGCGAAGATTCCGCCCCCCAGAGTCCGGCCCTGTCAATCAAAATGGATGAAGAGTCTGGTGGGTCAATAACTTTGATATTTTTCCAAATTTCTGTCTGCAAAAGCCAGAACAAACTCAGCGACTTGGAGATGTTTCTCGGGTTTTTCTGGTTGGCAAAGTTTCCTCTCTGATGTAACTCTGACTGGATGCTCTGTCCCTCAAACAACATTATCTATTAATGATATAAAGGATACAAATCTATAGAAAGACAGTAAACAAAGGCAGCTTAATCTTTCTCATTTAGACTTCCTCATCATCTTCACTTGTTGTCCTCTCTACCCACATGCCTGTCTGTCTTCTTCACCATTTGTCCCGGGGATCCTGCTGTCTGAGCAGCAGGATCCCAGTCTGAGCAGCTCTCCTTTAGCTAAGCCCTGCCCACCTAACACACACTCATAAAAACACACGGACCCACACAATACTATGACAAGCATATGGTTTTAAGTCTGCAACTTTAGCCGTCGCCAGCGGAAACTCTCCTCTCCTCTGTTAGGTTATCTCTCTCCACTTTTTTTCTGTCTCTCTGCTGCCTTTAATCCAGCTTAATCCATTTTGTCTGAATGAGTATCAATTACTTGCAAAATAACTACATTTAGTAAAATAAAGTAAAAGAGAAACTGGCTGTCTATTCTCATTGTATTCAAAGCTGTAATAGGATATTTATTGAGAAATTTTAAAAATAAAATCTTGTAAAACTGGGGRAAAAAATTAAATCACCCAAGTTAGACCAATTTTATTCCATCATACATCATTTGCCTTGATTCTTGAGCACAAACTCACATACCAACGCTTAGTTTTGTATATACTTTTAATAATGCTGCTTGCATTACACTTTATAAAGTATTTTTTTGATGACAACACTACTTCCTCCGGATTAAAAACAAAACTTGTTTACAGTACATGAAAGCAAAAACTTTGAGTAATTTTAGACAATTTTTCCTAGGATCTTTGTAGAAATTCAGGCCAAGCCTGAGAGGGTTTAGGGATCCCTGGGCTCTTGCAGCCTCCTCACAGCCCACATTAGTATCCTCTGAAAGTAGGAGCTGTTGCTTGTTTGTCATGGTGGCTCAGGTTAATTAGACACCTACGGATGTTAGAAGTTCTTGACCTTTCAGAAACCCAGCCTGCTCTAAGTGAAGAGATTCTGTTGTGTGTAAAGAATGAGAAATCTGACAGCAACCTGTGGGGCTGTCTAATTAGGATTCAGGTTGTTTGGAGTAAATAAACTTGCTCTGCTCATGCATTAAACTTTGACTTATTTTGAAGTTCAGGATGATAGATACACAATTTTATTTCTTTTTCTAATTATTACATCTACCGTAGACAAATACTTGCATAGTAAAGTAAAGCTTTGTGCCCAGTCATGATCATACTGTGGTGCTCATTTGTGTCCTAAAAAACTAGAAATTCATTACACAAACAGTATCTGATTTATTGTGTGTCAGTCATTAATATCTTACCTGTAGATGAACCTTTGAATGACCTCAGTTCAGAGAAACGGTTCATTTCTGCTAAAAGCTGGTATGAGCAATTCTAAGATCAGTGCTGCTATCTAAAAAAAATCTCTAATCATATTTCATATCAGTCCATAAAGACTTTTCCCTAAACATTTACATTGCTGTCATACTGTCTATTTTTTGTCAAACACTGGTTATATGCACTAACAAATAGTGGTGGTAACAGCTAGCTTTAGCATCTCACTTCCAGCAGGAATAGTCGACCAGATGATTTATTGGCAGATTTCTTTAGTTTTGGAAGATTGGTGATCAGCCAATACTTAGATGTGAAGCTGATCTTAACCACTAATTTTATCTACCTCCACAAAGGTCTGACAATCAGCCATTGTCTGTTTTTGCTCTGCTGTGAGCACTACMTCATGYCCAGTTAAAACAAGTTTGTATTGTTTCAAGGGTATTTTCAATGGTTTTTCAATAAAATAAGATTGGAAAACTGAAGCTCTATTGTGTCCTTGTAACACCTGACAGTGTCAGTTCTTAAAAAATAAATAAAAATAGGTATCTGCCAAAATTTGGAATCGGCAGGTCAGACTTTTTAAAAATCAATGGTGGCCAGAAAACTGCAGTTGGTGGACCATATAGCTGTTTTAACCATCTTGTTGAGCTGGTCAGAAACAAACTCTTATTTCCACAAACTGAAGTTATTCAAAGAGCAGAATGAATGCTAAATGTGTCCAAAGGCTAGCTAAAAGTTACTAGAGGGTAGCTAAAAACTAAAAGGATAGGCTAGCTAAAATTAGCAAAATTCTTGCTGAAAGCTAAGGGAGAAAAATGGTAGCTAAAAGTTAAAAGTAGCAAAAACCCAGCCAAAATTTACTAAATGCTATCTAAAAATCAAAATTAAGGAAATGTTACATAAAAGTAGCAAAAGACTAGATGAATGGTAAGAGTAGCAATGCTCGTTAGAATAAGCAAAATACCCAAAAACTAAAGTAGTAGAAGCCTAGATGAAAGCAGTAAAAGGTAATACAAAGACTAAAAGATGCTAAAGGACGGATGCTAAGAACCACAAGCATAAGGTTAGCTAAAAGCTAAAAGTAGCAAAATGCTACATAAAAGTTTAAGCTAGACGTAGAAAAATTAGATACAAATATCAAAATGCTAGCCAAAAGTACCAAATGGTTTGCTATGAGATAAAATAGCAGTACAGCTTTTAAAGTTGCAAAGAGGTAATTGAATGTTTAAAGTAGCTAAAAAACTAAACATAAAAAAGACAAAAATAGCTATTCTGAAGCTGATTTTACTGATATTTTAATACATTTCCATGGGTTAAATGTTTGTAAAAAGTTAAATATTGTAAAAGTTACAGAACTGGAAAGTCGTAGCACCAGGTTCCTGAATGAGCTAAACGTTTTGAGACCTGAATGGCTAAAATATGCAGAAGTTGTTAAGAGTGGACAAAATGTCTGGCAGTCCTAATCTCTAATAATCTGAAGGTAAAGAGCAGTTCAAACAGGATGTGTGTTTTGTTGCTTTCCCCCTCCTCGTATCCTGTCCTATTGTTTCATGTTTCATCTCTCTCTCTCTCTCTCTCTCTCTCTCTCTCTCTCTCTCTCTCTCTCTCTTTCTTTCTCTCTCTTTCTCTCTCTCTCTCTTTCTTTCTTTCTTTCCTTCTCTCTCTCTCTCTCTCTCTCTCTCTCTCTCTCTCTCTTTCTCTCTCTCTCTCTCTCTCTCTCTCTTTCTTTCTCTCTCTCTCTCTCTCTCTCTCTCTCTCTCTCTCTCTCACAGCCTGTGGTCTTCCTTGTTGTCACTCTCATCAAGTCAAAGAGAAGCTGTGTGTTTTACGGCAGCTCCTGTTGCGCTGATCCATCTGTTTTAATACGACTCGTGCCCAGCTGAGATCAAACACAGGCACCACCTCTCCTCTGTTAACCCCCCGTCATGACAGCCTGAAGCTTTGCTTATTAACACACGTTTCATACCTGCACTTACAGCGTTTTACCTACACAGGAAGGCCTCTCTTTTTTTTTAACAACACCTACAAAAAACCCTCATAAAACAAAAAGAGAAGGGGATCGAGCTTTACTTGTATCACTTCTTTTTCCTCAGCAGCTCCTAAACTGACCCAACACTGGTCAGAACTCTTCCTTCTTTTAAACGATTTCTTAGTTTCGATCCCCGTTTTTCACAAAGACGATGGAAATAGTTGTGTGACAATATTACAACAACCACAAATGAGTTTTCCTCTGCATTAGTGGACTTCTAAAAGCTTCTGGTTCTCATTAAAAAAAAGCTAGTAGAGGGTTTCCAATCAGGCCTTGGCTTAACGAGGGCAGGCGGGGGCTTAACGAGACTCAGACTGACAGCACGACTGGCCTCATTAGGAGAGGCTGCTGTGGCCCTTTCTGATAAAGAGAGGATGGAGGTAAATGATGGATGCACGCCTTTTCTGAATTGCAAAGGAAATCCAAGACATGTCATTTTAGAGTAGCTTTAATGAAAGTGAAATCAGACAGATGGTGGTACAAAAACTTCTGAAGTTTGCATGAAATTAGATCCTTGTGGAATGTTGGTGGTCACTTTTTGGTTTAAAACTTGCAAATTTCCTTAATGCAGCACCACTTTCCTAAAAAYATCCACTTTTATTCAAGGGCTGTATATATTTTCCTATGTCTTTAGTGATAGAACTTGCTGTTTTTTTGTGTTGGGACGTTAGTTCATTGCATTTGAATGTGTCGTCATGCATTATAGATGTAAATTCAGCATTTTCTGCTATTCTTTGTTGTTTCCTATGCAGATCACCTGATGTCAATACTGACAAGGGTAGAGTGTCTAGTATTGGAACAGACCCATGGGAAGAAACTGGTCTTGAACCTGGTGGTTCTGAGTCAGATGGTGGGGAACCTCTTCCCAGAGGCCAGCWGGCAGAACAATCCATAGGGTGTGTGGGGTCACTGAGAATGTCCCTGCCTCATGCCTTGTGGTGCTTAGGGGCTAAGTCCATAAGTCCTGGCTGGAGGAAAGGGAAGCMCTTCTCATGCTGCTGACCACCTCCACAGTTGATTGGCGGATTAGAGTGGAGCATGGCAGGGCTGGTTTTTTCTGAAGTCAACAATGATCTCCTTTGTTTTGTCCCATTCAGGATCAGGTTTTTGTCTGTGCACCACAATAAAGGTAGCAGCAGAATTTGGGACCATTGATGCTCCTTAAATGACAAGTCAATCGAAAACCTTGGGTTTTTCCATTATGGTGGATGGTTCTTAAACATGTAGCACACATGTACAGCAGGCATTCTTATGGCGTTTTACARTGGGACAAAACATTTACAGCTGAAGTTGCTGAAAAATGGTGTTTGAGGGACAAGTACTGTAGTTTTGTACTATTGTTTATAGTTTTACTAAAACAAAACCAAAGCTGCTGTAAACCAGAAAGTCGGAAACGGAAATCAAGAACTGAATGAAAAAGGAAAAAAGCAACCAAGTGAATATGACAAGAATGCAAACTATAAATCTTAAAGGTTGTTGGGAATGTTCTGAGCTCAATTGATATGATTTAAATGGA